AGTCCTGCTTTTATATCACCAGTATAACTACAGGCAGCCCCGGGCGTACAGACCAGTTGAGTTCCTAAGTTGGTCTTTAAGTTGAATTTGTATTAACTCTATAACGCCTGAATTTTTAATTTTAGGAAAAATTTTTGTTGTTGTTATTCTTTACTTTCATAGTTATCAATATATATAACAACCAAAATAAGATTAAATGTTACAAAAATGTCGCACTTGGCATTATAGGGCTAAGTAGGAACAGGTTGACACAGTATCATATGTTTATGTTAGTAGAGAGTATAACTTTTTATGCCTAAAATGCATTAAATAAATATTTCCACAGGTACATTAAAACATCTTTAATGTAATAATATTTGATGATAATATTTTGATGTGTGTTGCAAAGTAGGTCCTATTTGTCATAGTAACCTCACAATTTTAATATAATACGTTGGTTTCTAACTATGGTTGTATGTAACTTACATAACTATGACTGGTGGTATGCAGGTTTTTATTTTTCAAAGCATATTATAAAGCTCTGAAAAATTTCTGAGGCTAGTTAAGTTGAATGCACCTTAATTTTTCATGGCTTAGAAATTTCAGAAGGATTTGGAAATGTCTTAAAAATAGAGGTGTGAAAGAGTTACCCAATTAAGTTAGAAATTGTTTGTTCTTAAAAAAAAATTAGGCTGTGCTACTAAATACCCAGGCTTTTCTTTCATTATTTGTGGCAATTGATTTATATTATGATGGTCTTTTTAATGAGAAATTGTGTCAAAAAAATAAACTCTTTGATTTTATCCTCTGAAAAAATCAATCAAGCATCTGAGAAAGTCTGCAGTAGTTTATTGGAGAAAGCTCTCATTAGTTTTTCAAAGACCTGTGTGTTTAGGTCCATTCCAATGGCAGGACTTTAGGAAGACACATGTAAATACACATCCTGGCAACAGGAAGTCAGCACTGGTAAAATACAATGTGAACAAGCTTACCAAGATATTAAACTTATATTTTATTCACATTTTGGGAAGAAGTAGAGTTTGTATCAAATGTACATTATACTTTTAAGTTTGCATAAGGCACATGATGGAAACGTTTTAAACAGCAAGAAATTGGGACTGTCTTTAAGGGATTATATTATTTAGAGTTATTGAATGAATGAGGAACTGACATCATTTCAGTATCAGAATTGAAAACTCT